TGATCTTTTTTCCTCCAGAAATAAACAAATGTGTCAAGGAAAAACACTAAGACTGAATTTAATTACTATTCTTAATTTTTTGGTGCAAGAGATTTCAGTAGGTTTATAGCACCTTTTAAGAATCTCTACAGTTAATAAGTGAGTATTTAACCTCATAATCATTGATACTCAGAGTATGATTTTTTAAATTTTTTTTAAGTTGTTGATAGACTTTTATTTTATTCATTTATATGTGGTGCTAAGAACCGAACCCAGTGCCTCACACATGCTAGGCAAGTGCATTACCACTGAGCCCAAGCCCCAGCCCCTCAGAATATGATTTTGCAACAATAAAAACATTAAGTCTTCCTGGGACCCTAGACCTTGACCACAACCTGTGTGGAGTCTGTTGACTATCACCCTGGACCCTAGTCCCCAGTTTTCAGTCAGGAAAAGGGCAAAAATTGGCACCTCTTTTCACTGTGGGGTAAGTAAGGTCTTAACCATGATTCCTATAAAGCACTYAGCCACAAACTGACCAGGAAGCAGCCCTCACAAGAGTTCACAAGACTGCAGGGGTGGAGAAACCCACCATCACAGGCACTTGTAGCATTTTTTATGTCTACATCTTATCTTCCCAGTGGACTCCAGCTGCAGAAGGGAGAGAATGTTTTGTTCTCTGTCACCTCCTGATTGTCGAGCACATTGAGCCATATATGGGATTTAGGTTTTCTAATAGCAACAAAATGAAAAGAACCAGGAAAAATTAATTGTAGTAATGTCTTACTTAACCCACTATATCAAAAATATCATTTCAGTGAGTGATCAGTATAAAAAAATTATGAGATATTTTATTTTCTTTTTTGGTACTACGTCTTCAGAATCATGTACTTTGCATTTAACACATCTCAACCTGGACTAGCCACATTTAAAGTGTCAGTATTCAGAAATGATTACCATATTAGACAGCAGAGGTCTGGCATATTATGGGTAATTAGTAAATAAATATCTCTCACAGTAACTTTTAAAAATCTTTTTCCCCCCTCAATAGATTACCATGGCTGCAGGAGTCTTGCCTCAAAATGAACAGCCGTATTCCATATTGGTGAATAATAGTGGGTATGCTGCAAACATGAAAGGTAATATCTCTTTAATATGCTTTTTATCTTTGTTCAAACTAGTATTTAATAAGTCGCTGTGTGAATGGATGTAAAAGAAAAGGTTCTATTCTTCATTTTAGAATTCTAAGGTCCAGGTGTTATTTAAGGCCTTTTTGTTTATTTCTGCCTTACCATTTTGGCCTTTTAGAATTTCTTTTCATTAAAACCCTGAATAATAATCTTGGCCTTTTCAGAAGTGATGTTGCAAACAGTGTTTGTCTCCTACATTATCATCTTAGACTGAAATCATGCGTTTGTTCCTGTCGTCAAACGCCTACTTGTGAATCAACCATTCATTTTTTCTCCTCGAGTTACTTGCAAGTGTCACTTATAAAGCACATTCAGAAGCACTCAAGCCCTACTTCTCTCTGTGTTATTTTTTCTCTCCTCTGTTGCCCTCCCACACTGTTTTGATTTTCTCGTGGCACCTCAGCTAAGGAAGCGTGCTGTGACTTGGACTCCTACTGCCACACTTGCCCCTCTCTCTGCCACAGTTCTAAGCCGAGACCTGCCCAGATTCAACTTTGGCCTTGTTGGCTGTGTTATTCAGCTTTCCATCACTGTGACAAAATGTCTGAAATAATTCATCTTAAGGAGCAAAGGTTTATTTTGGCTCATGGTTTCATAGRTTTCAGTCCGTGGTTGGGCAACCCTGTTGCTTTTGGGCCTGTGGTGAGACAGAACATGGTGACAGAAGCAGATGTGCAGGAAACTGCTTACCTYAGGCTAGCCTGGAAGCAAAGAGAGAGTGAGGAAGGGACTGGAGTCCCAATATCCCTGTTAAGGGCACACTCCCAATGACRTAACTTCCTTCYATTAAGTCTTCCCTCCTAAAGGTTCTGTCACCTCCCATTATACCACGATGACAAGCCTTTAGGATAATGGGCCTGTGGGGCGACATTTAATATCCAAACTGTGACCTTGGCCTGCAAGTGTTAGCCAGGAGGGATGTTGATTAATTTTTCTTCATAACGTTCCTTGCACTATTTTCTAACTGCCCGCTCTGGGTTTTACCTAAGTTCACTTTATTCCAATGTATAGGGAAATTTGGTAGAATTTCTTCGATTAGGTGATGAAAGAGCAGAAGCGGAAGGGCTAACTGAAGGGATTTCAGTTCAGTGTCTTGCTGGAAGCAGTCTGTTCTCAAAGTTGATGTGTTCTTTTTGGAATCTGGCCACTCCACCAGGGGGAGCTCTCTTTCATCAAGAAAACCAGGACTCTCCCTCTTGGCTAAATTTCAGATTCTTATAGATCCTCCTCCTCCTTCTCCTCCTCCTCCTCTTCCTGTCTGTTATGTCTGGTTTAAAAAGCACTAATGTTGCTGATAACTTCTTTGTGGACAGCCTCTATGGGCCAAATTTACTGTCTGTTAGTTTCCCTGGTCTTAGAGAGAAGTACTTTCAGAAACAAATACAATAATGATGTCTGCTTGTTCCTTTCAGTGTAGAATATATTTTCCCCAAAAGGAACATTCCAGCCAACAAGTCTGACAGTCAGCATTATTTTTTTTCTTTAGAATGTTATCTTTTAGTTGCTGTTTCTTAACAGGGGCTCTATTGACTTTTGGGGGTGGAGCCCTAAGTATTGATGACATTTAGCATTCCTGGCCCCACTTACTAATCCAGGAACAACCAAAAAAAAAAAAAAAAAAAACCCTACATATTTTCAGATGCCTCCAGAAAGGGAAGGTTGTAACATCTCTGTTGTGATCCACCAGGAAGCTGATTTTTACTTTCCAAAAATATTTTTTAATTAAAATTTCCCTCATTGTACAAGTATAGCTTTTTAATTGGAAAAAAATCTGGGAAAATAAAATGTACTTTATATCCAATTTTCTTAAAGTGGATATTTATAAAGGTAATCAATTATACTTTATGGGATTTTAGGGTGAAAGTAGTTTTTTAAAATGTTGGCCAATGAATCATAGGAAAATTTAATGGGAGGTACATATATAATAAGTATTTTCAGAAAAAAAAATAGAAAACTCATCAAGAACTAGCTTTGGAATGAGACCTAGATTTAAATTTTGGTTCTATTACTCCAAATCAAAACAAAATTCACCACTTTTATACAGAGTAAGATAAATGTCCCCTTGTCCCCATGTATTTATCATCCCCCAAGTACATGCCCAACCTTAACAATTTCAGACACTCACTTCCTCCACTCACCTCCTTTGCATCTGTGTTTCTTTGAAGCAAACTTGAGGCATCATGTCATTTTATTCATTAAATAACCCACCATCATTTCCATAACTAAAATAATAAACAATTACTTAATATAATCAAATACATAAACCAGTGTACAAATTCCTAATAGATATATCCCATAGATGTACTTAGGTATAACATTTATGTCAGAATCAATACATTATAGTTGGTTGCTATGCAGCTCAGATCTTTTTTAACTTGGGTTTTGCCTCTTTTTCCTGACAGTCTATTAGTTAAAGAAATCAAGTTTTGTTTTTTTTTCTTTTTCTCCTGTGAAGTTTGCCATGGTCTTTATTTTGCTAATTATGTCCATAAGATATTTCCTCTAAGCGGGAGGATGGATATAGTGTTAAGTCAGATTGTTTCTTTAATTGGAAAAAATATTTCATGAGGGATGAAATATTCCTTGTGGAAGGATGTCCACGATGTCTCTCCCCCTTTTGGTAATGTTAATTTTTTTTTATTTTGAAATAACTTCAAACTTACAGAACAGTTGGAAGGAAAGCACATTAAAAAAACAAAAACCAAAAACCAAAAACAAAAACTCCTATTATTCACCATAGATCCTCATTTGAACTTGTCAACTGACCCAATAGGATATTTATGTTTTTTTCAGCTCTTTCAAGGATCTAGACCTTGGTTGGGCCTTTCTTGACTTTAACATCTTTGAAGATCACAGGCTAGTTTTTTGGTAACGTGCCCCTCAATTTGGTTTGTCTGCTGTTTCCACATGGTGAGTCTGAGGTTATGCATTTTGGGTAGAAATGTCACAGAAGTGACTGTTTTTCTCACCGAATCCCTCAAGTACCACAAGGTGTCATTTGTCCCATGATTCGAAATGTTTGTCGTCACATCATTAAAGTGGTATCTGCCAAAATTTACCCACTATAAGTTATTCTTTCTCCCTTCATAGTTAGTGATTTATGGAAAGATGCTTTGAGACCATGTGAATTTCCTTGTTCCACATTCAGCTTTGACCCAGTAATTTTAGAACCCATTTATGTTTTTTTGCCTGAATTAATTATTGTGATAGATAACTAAAGGGAGATTTTCAAATTCCATCACTCATTCTTTATTTACTATTTGGCATTCTACTTTAAAGAATAATTTTTTCTTCACTTATTTATCATTTTATTTTAGTGAGGAATCCTGTTTTGTTCAATGGAATATAATCTTATTATCAGTTGATGCTTCAGTTGTCTTACATTTGTCCAGTAGGAGCCGCTTCAAGCTGTTAACTGTGTTCTTTGGATACATCTTCACCATTCCTGCATTCTTTACTCTGTGGCCCAGTAAGATCTTCCATCTTGTTCTTTCTCTGCTCCAACCCTGAAATCAACCCTTCCTCTAAGGAGCCATTGTTCCTTTTAGTGAAGAATAAGTACTACTTAGGAACCAAGATTTGGGCATGCTCACTACTACTGGCATGTTAAGATTCTCAGACTTCTCAGGGGACCAAGCTGGGGAATATGTGTTTGTACATATACATGAGTATCTACCTACTTTTTACATGTATATTTATTGCTATTTCTATTGACACATATTGAAAACCATGAATTCACACTGTTACTTTCAATTTGAATTCAACATTATCTATTGTTCCAGCTTTTCCTTTTTTTGTTTATGATTTTCTTCTCCAAGAATGAGAGAGCCTGTGCTCACTTCAGCAGCACATATATTACAACTGGGATGATACAGAGGAGATTACCATGGACCCTGCTCAAGGATGACACACAAATTCATGAAGCATTCCATATTTTTCTACAATCTTCCCTTTTATAGTTCATCRGCTACAAAATAAAACTTTTGCATGATTTGCTGTTTCAAGAGAAAAAGAATGAGAAGCCTGGCTCTTCTTACTCCTTATGTGCTTACTTATGTACTCAGCCTCCCTTTACCTGGCCAGTCTTTCAACCCTGCACAGCCATTACCTGCCTCAGTAATTTTTTTCCACACAGAACCATACTCTGCCCAGCCACATACTGTATACCACCCTGCTAGTTGCCTTCCCTGCCTTATCCCTGACATCTGCTAGATGACCTCTGCTTAGGGCTACCTAGTGTTTTTTTTTTTTCTTGATGACACATATATTTGTATATTCTTATACATTGAAATGTTGAGATAAGTAGATATTCCTATAACGTTGTAAGAAATAGTACAGAAGAATCCCTCTTTTCCTTTACCTAGTTTCCATTAATAGTAACATCTTAAGGAGCTATGGTATCATAATCATCACAGCCAAGATTTTGACATTGTTACAGTCAAGATCAATAGGAGGGTGCCTCTTGCTTCTTTTATATTCAAGGCAATTGCTAATGTTCCCTAGTTTTATAATTTGTCATTTTAGCAAAGTTATGCAAATGAAGTCATACAGTGCATAGCCCTTTAGGATTGGCTCTTTTTTCATTCAGTGTAATTCCCTTGAGTTTCATCCAGGTTGTCATGTGTTTTGATAGTGTATTCCTTTGTATTGCTGAGTAGCATTCCATGGTATGGATGTACAACAGTTTGTTTATCTTGTCACTCATTGAAAGGTGTGTGGGTTGTTTCCWGTTTGGGATTATTATGAATAAAGCCACTCTGAACATTCATTGCAGGTTTTAGTGTGAAGATGAGTTTTTATTGTTGTAAGGGAAAATCTCAAAAGCATACTAGGTCAGATGATAGTTGCATGTTTCATTTTACATGAAACTACCAAACTGTTTTCTAGAGGTGTCGAACCATTTTACATTCTTACAGCACTGTATAAACAATCAAGTCCTCAGCAGCATTAGGTGTTACCACTGTTTATTCTAGCCATTCTGACATGCATGTAGTGATATCTCAGTGTTGTTGTTGTTTGTTTTTCCGATGTTGGGGATCCAACCTAGGAACGTACATGCTAGGCAGGCACTCTACTACTGAGCTGCACCCCCAACCCCTCTTTGTGGCTTTAATTTGCATTTCTCCAATGGCTAATGATTATAACCATCTTTTCATGTTCTTATCTGTCATCTGTGTATTCTCTTCTGACCTGTCTATGCATGTCTTTTGTCCACTTTCTTAATTGGATTTTTAAAATTGTTGGGCATTAAGAGTTTACAATCTGGACATTAGATCTTTATTTGACATATGCTTTTGAAAATATCTTTTTCCAATCTGTAGCTTACCTTTCCAGCTCTTCCTGATCTTTTTCTGAGAAAAAGTTTTGAATTTCATGATGTCCAGTTTTTCTTCTGTGTATTGTACTTTTGGTGTCAGGTCTTCAGAATACAGCCTATTCCAGTGTCTTGAAATTTTGTGGGTCTRTTTGTAGATTCTCTCTTTTGTGTCATTGATCTGTACATCTGCCTTCCACCAATACCACCCTGTTGTGATTACTATAGAGTAATGCTTCCCATTTATTTTTCTTTTTCAAGATCATTTTAACTAGAATCTGTGACTTTTCATAGAAATTTTAGGATAAGCTTATGTATGTCAACCAAAAGCCTTGCTGGGATTTTGATGAGAATTAAACCTATAAATCAATTCAAGGAGATTTCCATCTTTACTATGTTGACCCAATCCAAGAATTGACCCATTTCTTGTAAGTTGTCAAATTTAGAAGCACCAAGTTATTTGTACTAGTTCTTTATTATTTTTTAAATGAATGACAGATCTATCGTGATAGRCTGTTTCATTTCTTACATTGGTCATTGCGTCTTCTTCTTTTCCTTTTGTCAGTCTTTCTAGAAATTTATGAATTTCATTTTTTCATAGAGCCAGCTTTTAGTTTAACTGATTCTCATCATTGTTTCCCTGTTTTTATGTTTTGATTTATGTTCTTACTTTTTATCCTTCCAATCATTTCTTTGGGTTATTTGCTCTTATTTTTCTAGTGTCTTATGTTGGAACTTAGATTATTGATTGGAGACCTTTCTTCCTCTCTAACATAAGCATTAAGTGATATAAACTTCCTTTACCACTCTGCTTTACCAACAGCCATGTATGTTGTAATTCAGTTCTATGTGTTTTGTAATTTCCTTTGAGACTTCCTCTTTGACTCATGAATTATTTATAAGTTTGATGTTTAATTTCCAAGTCCTAGGAAATTCTCCCTGTTATGTTTCTATTATTGATTTTTAGTTTGCTTCCATTATGATCAGAAAAATATTCTCTGTAAGAGCCTTTTTTAAAAAAAAATCAATGCCAAGACATTATAATTAAAATTCTTGTGGATAATTTCAACATATCATGTATTTCTTGATTGTTTCTTCTCACTCGTTGTGATTTTCCTAGTTTGTGATATGACAAGTGATTTTCAACTGCATCCGGGACATTTTGGATCCTAGGTTTTCTCCTATTAGCAGGCAGTCTCTCTGTTGAGGTCTGTCTCAGGACCAAGGTCCGTGTGTGTCTTCAGCTCCCTGCTCAGCCTTGCTGACACCATGCCAACAAAAGCAAGGGCCTCCTTGCACATGGCCAGGTGGAATCTCAGCTCTCCCACCAGCTCTGTTGACACCTTCATGGTGGAGATGGGGCACTGCCTTGCACTGTCATGTTGTCTTTGAGTAGGGGCATAAGATCAGCTCCCTGAATAAATAGATTGCTAATGCAGGCCCCACTACCACCTGAGAGGGGAAGTCGAAGGTGACTCATACCACTTTGTTGCTGCAAGTTGTGGTTGAAGCTGATTTCCCTGCTAGGCCCTGGGGACCTTATCGAAGGAGGAAGTAGGAAGCATAGTACCACTACCCTGCCTCCTGCCACTGCTTTTCTCCTCGTGGATACCATGCGGGGATACCATGGGGCTCAGCTTCCCTCTGGACCCTGTTGGCCCTAGGGAGTGGGTGGGGAATGTTGGTCATCCTGCTTCATTCTGCCTTATTCCTCATGGATGGCAGGTAGGAGTAGGGAGGCTCAGCCCCCTTCTGGGCTCCACTAACACTGAGGTAGACAGGCCATGCGAGCTAGCCTGGCTCCGTGCTGCATTGTTCATTTATATTGCTGCAATATATGTGGAGGTTTGTATTGTATGTGGAGGTTTGTCTCCCTTAAGACATTTGGGGGAAAGCAGAGTGCTCACTGTTCTCAGCTTGCACGTCTCTGATGCTGCATGGGTGTGGAGGTTTAGTTCTCCACTGGGTTACTGACATGGGATGGATGGTGAGCCTAATGTTGACTATCCGTGCTTCAAAACCTGTAGTAAGACTTTTTTTTTTTGTACCAAGGATTGAGCCCAGGGGCACTTAGCCACTGAGTCACATCTCCAGCCCCCTTTTTTTAATGTTTTATTTTGATACAGGGTCTTCTTAGGTTGTTAAGGGTCTCACAGAGTCGGTGAGGCTGGTTTTAAACTTGCAATCCTCCTGCCGCAGCCTCCAGAGCTTCTGGGATTACAGGTGTGCACCACTGCACCCAGGCTGTAATAAGACTTCTTGCTGCTACATGATGGTGGAGGCTCAGCTCAAGCAATGCCTTCATAACACGGCTTTGGCAGAGGAATTGCAGCACTTCCAACTTCCATTTGATGAGGTGCGGGAAATTTTTTTATGAAGAAATGACCACTCAAACATTTAAAAAGTTATTGAGATATAATGAAAATTATATAAGCATATAACAAATCATACTATGTAATTATATAATGAAATTCAGCCTTTTGAAGTAGTGTATACACATTGATTTTTAGTGTATACATGAGATGGTGCAATCACTACTATCTAAATTCAGAACATTTTCTCAGACCAAAAGGATACCATAAACCAGTTAACAATCTGTCCCCTTTCCATCTTCTCGCTCACTGGCAGCCCTTAGTCACTTTCTGTCTCTGTGGATTTGCCTATTTAGGACATTTAATATCAGAAAAATAATACAATGTGTGGTCTTTTGTGTCTGCCCTTTTCCACTTAACATAACGTTATAATGTTTTCGAGATTTAACCATGCCTTACTATATATCAGCACTTTATCCATTTTATTACCGAATAATACTGCATTGTGTATATGAGATTTTGTGTCTCCATTTGGGTTGATGGACCCTGGATTGCTTCAGCATTTAACTACTACAAATAGAACTGTTATGAACATTTGCAGACATGTTTTTATGTGGATGTATTTTTTTGTTGTTGCTCTGGGCATAAACCTCAGAGCGGAATTACTGTGTTTAACATGTTGAAGAACTAACTGTTTTGATTTGTGTATCCCTAATGACTAATAATGTTGAACATTTCTTCTTATTGGCCATTTGTATATCCTCTTGGGAAAAATGTCTATTCAAATTCTTTGCCCATTTTTAAAAATATTTATTTTTTAGTTGTATTTGGACATAATACCTTTATTTTATTTATTTTTTTGTGGTGCTGAGGATAGAACCCAGGGCCTCATACGTGCTAGGCAAGTGCTCTACCACTGAGCCACAACTGCAGCMCACTCTTTGCCCATTGGGTAATTGATCTTTTTATTCTTGTGTTATAAGCTCCTTACATATTCTGGACGTATTAGTCTACTGTTAATTAATTRTTGATTATTATTAACACTAGTTTATTGGTTTGCTCTTTCTGGCTTTSTTCATTTATTCTTTGGAGTTTGAGTTCTTCATTTGTACATCAGCTAGACTACCAGTGGTRGTYTTTGAGGTCACTCTGAGGTTTGTTCTTACTCCACCAGAGTACTTCTTAGTTATCTCTTTCTCTGTTTCTCTCTGGTAGACTAGCTGATGTACAGTTTCTCTCATTGCTCAGGTAGCCACCAATCTCCTCTAAATTGCTTAACACCAAAGCCTCCATTGTTTTTGAAAGCATCCAT